CAACCGTGTCCATTTCGCAGTACATGATACGGTTGTCAAAGGGAAGTACATCAAATGTCAAAGCAAATGTTTTTCCAAGTGTTTTATTGAATTATTCGCATGTATTGTAATAAAATGGACAAAAATATTAACAGTGAGAACAATTAAGATTAATAAAAATTCGTCGCTGCAGCATTATGGAATGTGGCATTTGAAAAAGCGAAGATCGGCCGAATGTAACATTGTACAGGCACGTATTATTTTTCTGTCTATAAATCACACAAAAGCCCAAATATCTCATGTAATTAGACATATTTAAATAGTTTATTCATAAATCTTGCTAAATTTTGCTTTGGTTTCTTCAGATTACCTGTTTGTTAGTATATTTTGATGATAGTTGTTAACGATTATTTTGAGATAGTGTTGTTCTTGGAAGCGTACATACTATCGATATTCTGATATTAGAATACACAAAAAAGAAAATAGAATGGTTGGAAATCATACATTGAATCAAAGACCATCTTTATTTATTCGCTTCATTTTGAAGAGTTAAATTTTAACATAACTTTGAATGCAACTAGATTACATGATAATGCAATTCCATCGTTAGGTTGATTGGTAAATAATTTTATATTTAATTTAGAATAAATACAGTTCTTGAATACAAAATTATTCAGTCGTTTCCGATTTTTTCCCTCTAACATTAAAAATTCTTCTTATATAAATCCAGCAATACAAAGACCATGTTGATCTAACGTTGCTGGGTGAAGGCCAATACGAACGTATAGACAGCCTATTTGCCTTGCCCTGGCATCGTTCGGTGTCACTCGCCTAGCTGACCGAGTGAAGACGTGCGCTAACGTGTATAGAGATCGTTTGACGTGGCTTGTCACAACTCGCAGTCGCTCGTGACTACTCGTCTCACTCACTCGGAGAAGTGTCGATTTTCTGCACAAATCGCAGGCGCTCGACCAATAGTAGTCAATTGACATTGTATAATCAGACATTTACATGCTATTTAATACACGCGAAACATGTTTATACTAACACTGTCTCTTGTTACATCTCCTATTATACCATGTTTTAAGCAAATAAACGTATGATAATAATATTATTATTGATAATATTACTACTTTCATTTATTTCCAAAATTAAATGGAAGTATTAAAGATTCACTTAAATCAGTCACTGATATTAATTCTATACCAATGCATAAATACAAAAAAGCTTACACTATTTGGAATCTGTTTAAAAAATTATCTATGAAAATATGAATCTTGAGGTTGGAAATGTATAGGATTTATATTTCAAAGTTTTCTCTTTTCTATATATACTCTCAAATTACAAATATTATTTTTTTCTGTGTAAATTCACTTTTCGTAATATTTGAGAATTTGTGCAAACGCAAAGCAATAAATTCAAAGTTTCATGTGACACTCCCGGATATTCTCACAATAACTTAAAATATTTCCAAATGGAATATTGATCTACTTTAATTAAATGTTTGCATGTCGATAATGACTTATCGATAGATTATGGTACGACACTAAAGAAATCCGCCATTTGTTCGGTCAATTTTTGTTTAGGTTACGTTCATTCCGTAGTTACCTTTCTTTTATTTTTTTTCCATCCTCTAATGGTCGTATTCCAGAACTCTACTCAATGCTCAAGTCAGGACTTGAGTATGATTTAAAGCACTAGAAATTATACTCAAGTCCTTGCGTTTAGGGTCGTATTTCCGGTGCTTGAAATCATACTCAAATCCTGACTTGAGCATTGAGTAGAGTTCTAGAATACGACTTTAAGGTTCCACTCTCACCCAATTTTTTTTTTCGCAGATAGCATTTGAGCCAAGGCTAATAAAAATAATAATAATCTCCGTTAGTTGACCATGGGTAAGGCCTATACTCTTCCTATACTGTGGGGTAATTTTAGGAAAAAATTCTGAAAAATTGAAAAATATAATTCGAAGGCTCATATTATGTTCTACGTTTAGAAATATATTTTGAAGTTTTATTTACTGCCTCTGTGGCCGAAAGGTTACCATGCTGGACTGCCACGCACAGGTCCTGGGTTCGATTCCCGGGCTGGGAGAAATAATTGTATGGCCTACATTTATTTATCTCGTGCGTTTGGGTTTGGTTTGGGTATAATTTGTGGTTGTCTATGTGTGTGCCCATGGCTTCCCATGGTTTCCCTAGCGCGGGGCAATGAGAGTGTGCGTGTTATTATTATTTAGCGCGATTAATAGAATAAAATTGTGTAGCTAAAAGCAAATAAGAGAATAACGAGAATAAAAATGATTGGACAATAGTGAAAAACTTTAACTGTAACTTCAACTTTGGACAGGTGTCAACGTCAGATGTGGAAAAATATATGAAAAATATTGGAAAATTTATTGGAAAAATATTTACTTTTCCGAAAAAGTTGGTTTTTTCAAAATGGTCTATGGCATTGGTTAATAATGTACAAGTAGAAGACATTTTTAATAATAAACGTTGCAGAATTGTTCACAGAGGGATAATTGAAAAAAATGGAAAGTTTCTATTGATTAGACCTCCAAAGGTAGGAAAGATAAGCGTCAATGTATAAAAGGAAAGAGTAGAACATGGGTTATTCATACCTGAGGCCTGCTGGGATACCTAAAAGCATAGGATAATGCCTTGTGATCGCTTAAAACAACGTCAATTAACGGAAGAGATAAAGTTTTTAAACAGTGGCTTTGGATAATAGCAATTTATTGCGTGCAAAATTTAGACATGAACTACATAATATTTCGTATCGATATGTATAATATATATGTACAGTCAAGAGCACGTCAAGCTTGACACTTTGTAATTTGGACCGTTCTTAATGTAAGCGGCATAGAGGTGGATTTAAGTCTTAAGTGTCAAGCTTGACATGCTCTTGACGCTGTACCGACATTACTTTGTATGCGGTGTGATTTGTTGATTTTAAGCGATTAAAAACATAAAGCATGATTTATGATTATGATTTTTTTAAACTATGCTTACCAATGATCTTATAATATTCAAAAAAAGTTCATTTCTACTTACCTATAATTCAGTTCGCTACCTCGCCTAAGATTTATACCGTTCGTACGAGTATTAGTATATTTTATTCACCTACTCTATTTTGACCATCAATCGTGGTTTACATTGTGTAGGTACCGACGTTCTGCGCTCATCTCTCCAAACATATCTCTCAACTCTCCAACTTAAGATTTTTAAGCCCTTGCTTAAGTCCCAGTACTACGACAAGCCCTTTAATGTTCTTGTAGGGCTGTTCTTTTGTGTAACGCTTCACCTTTGTCTATTCAACAAGCGAAATCATTGCATATTTTCAAAAATATGGTACAAGAACGTTACCTAACTTTAGTGTGACTTAAAACTGCTTAGTTATTTTATGTTTAAGAAAATTTTATTTTTATAGGTGTAGGAATATAAAGTGATGATATTCATTTTTTGAGGGGTAAGGGTGTTGGAGAAATTATAGGCACATGAGACTTGTCAACTTATGTCTCAGGGTGACGGGCGTAGTGGCAGTGTCCTTTATTGCGATTTTAAGCTCTGAATGGTACTGTAACTGTTACGGACAGGCGTGTAGCTTACCATCAGGCGCACGATTTTTTCGTCCCGTCACTTGATATTATAAAAAAAATCATCAGCATATTTGTATTTATTTATCGGTTTTCTATCTATTGATTCGTTTTTCTTCATACATCGCAGTCTTTTTCCTGTGAGTTATATAATTACTTCCATCCAAAGGTTGTCTGGCAGAAACAGCTCAAAGCGATAAGACCGCCTATTGTACCACCGCTTATTTTTAATTTAATTAAATTGTATTTGTTTTTAGTATATCTTAGTTTTATTACTGACCTTGTCTTTATTGATTTCTGGTGATTTGGGTAATCTAAATAATACACATGAAATTAATATCTAAACATTTAATTAAATTATTCTTAATGAGAGTTTTAGTTTTAATATAAGTTAATAACGTGTGAATAAATTATTTTTCTTATAAACATTAATATCTGGTAACTTAACTAATAAAAATTCACTTAAAATTATTAGAAAATTGTACTTGGAAGCATGTCTGGAAATCTAAATACTTTTGCACCACTTACGATTGAAATTTGGTTACAATGAAAATAATGTCATTTGTAATCCTTTGAATGTTGGTAAGAAATGCTCAAATTAAGAAATAGATGATTACCATCAACCAATGTACTTACCTTTGCTGGGCACGGCTCACCACTGAGAAGCGAGTACATATAGGTACAGTCAAGAGCACATCAAGCTTGACGCTTTGTACTTTGGATCGTTCTTATCCTAAGCAGCATAGAGTTGGATTTGAGTCCTACGTGTAAAGCTTGACGTGGTCTTGACCCTGTACCATACATCATATAAACTCTTTGATCCATATATAAACTCTTTCATAGACAAAATCTATTCCCATATAAAGTGGTGCATTTTTTTTTAATTCATGCAATATATTCAGGTGAGCCTTTGCGTAAATCCATGCTAATAAAGATGGAAGAAATTAATTTGCGACTAGCGAACCCATTGGACGTTGAATCGCGCAAAATAGCCGCGCCTGTGTTGAATGTTTTTTTTTTCATACAGTTAATTTCTCCAACCTATCTCCGCATAAAAGTAATAACATAAACAACACAAGCGGAACGACAGTCATAGATACGTGTTTCACCTCTCTACGACGTATCCCCATTGATTTCTCGATGCTTGACCAAGTAAGAAATTCTTGCGGACTTGTAGTAGCAAATTAATTTATTTCCATTTTTATTCATACAATATAGTCCGTAATAGGTAATGATTAAAGGATGAGAGAATTCCAGTATAAATACAACAACTTATGGTTACTTCGTATCGATGCAATCATGTATGAATACAAATAATTAATTTTAAACCGTTTACGATTTAAAACTAAGCAAATACAACATTATATCCGTCATTCTCCAAGAGTTCATAAATATTTTGTTAAAAACGGCACTACTTGTACAGGTACTTTTGAAAACTTATTTTTTATTTTTTATTTCATCGGTTACATTAGCTACCTTAGTTTTTCGTAAAATTTATGTAAATCAATCGTGAACACCTCGACGATTTGAATACCAACCATGATTGTAATGTGAAGAAAAAAGGCCCGAGGGTTTTAATTGGGGTGTTATAGTAAAGTTAGCCTGCGTGCAATTGTATTGTTTACGAGCATGTGTAATGAAAAACACTGCGTGTTTGACCGGCGGTACGGGAATTACGAGCCCTCAGTCTCTTAGACTTCTAATAAAGTCTCGTTCGTAATTCCTTTTTTACCGCCCTTGTTGCACAATGTACTATATTATCATCACACATGCTCGATATTTTTTTTTTATATAGAGCGATATTTTTTGGTGGCAATAGTTTTTTTTATATTCCTGCCGATCGCTACGTGCAGACTATAACTATAACTATAACGGACTTTTTGATCTTATTTAAAAATTAAAGTGTTTACACTAGTCGGCTTTATTTTATTTTATTTATTATTTTTATGAGGTATACCAATCACTCATAGATAGCATACATAAATTTTAAAGATTTATTTTTAACTTCCTCGCAAGAGTGATAGAATAATAGTAGGTACCTAAAACAGCATCAAGACCGGAAGAGTAGTTATAAACGTTCGGGTCATTAAATCTGTTCATAATTGTCTACTTACCGCCCTTGTGATACAGTATATCAAAATCCTCATGAATGTCAATGTGCCTTAAGTTCATATTAAAGCACTGATGAGTACCAACGATATCTGTGTACGGCAATGGCGTTAATAAAGGTATTAATTGGAAGGTAATTTTATAATTACATTTTTGTCATGTTTCTTGTCTCGTTAGCCTGCCATGCTTTTTAGTTAGTATAGTCTAGCTTTTAGGTAAAATCAACAACATACTTATTATGTAGGTACTTAAGGTAATTTTTTTTTAAATGTGGCAAAGTTTTAACCATACGATTCCTACATTATACATCATTGTTCTTACAATTAATAATCTGCCTTCATATCTTTGACATATCAGAGAGTAGGTCGAAGGTCAGTATACAAAAATAGGTGATGAATGAGATTAATTCACGCCCATGTGTGAATGAAGACGAGATCTACCGCCGGTAAGGTGCCTTGCTATATCTGCCTCTCTCTTCCTCATCGCGGACGTCCAGATAGTGGCTAAATACTACTACCCAGAGGTACAGGAACAGACCTGGAAAAGATACAATTAAGTATATTTAGCGGGATGATTTGTAGGTACTCTTGTTCTGTAGACAGAGGTACTGTAGGTGCAATGTTGGAGTTTCTCAATTGAACTGTTTTTTTTTTGTATGTATGTTACGCGATAACTCTGGTAATTCCTTTTTGTTGGAAAGAGGGTACCTTAGTGGTAGTCCCATTTAAATTTGAAGAAAATATTTCACCTATAAGGGTGGCAAACTAGGGGATGGATCCGGTTTCACGCACTTTTCGGTAACTGATGTCAATAAAACTTAGCAAATAGACGTAATTCCACAAACTTTGAGGTTGATTTTTTAAAATACTCTGTACTGAGATTGTTTTAAAATGCTTAATTTATATTCAGAATTACAAACGGAGAAGTTTCAGCTACTTTTAGCAATTGGCTTTATTTTATATATTTACACCTTTTGGCTACAGAAAAGACGTCTTTTAACTGCATCATATGCCACGTCCGAGAATTTGGCAAATTCTCTTATCTAATTTTAGATGAAAAATGATTTAATGTGCTTATATTTTGTAGGCTACGAAACAACCATTATGACAGTGATGATTTATAAAAATATACAATACTCACACAAATAGATCAATCCACCAATAAGAATGCAGGTTGCAAGAATGACGTGGTCTTCCTTGCTGAGGTAGTACGTGATAGAAGTGTGCAGCACGCTGATCAACAAACCGATGGCCAGCACAATGCCCAGAACTACGAACGGCAGCATCATCCAGGACCGCCGCTGAAGACATAAATTATTAAAATAAAGTAAGTTGTGTTTGTCGTAGCAAGTATTTTTTTTTTACAAATACATATAATGACAATTGAGGGTTGATTTTCGAATACAGAAAGATCACTTTAGTAACTTCCGGTTTAAAATCAACGTATTAAACATATCGCACGTGCGTGCAATTTTACGTGTGGCTTTCCACGTCCCGTGATGACACGGGCCGCCACGCACAGCGGTTTGTCCAGACGTGCACATGCCACAGGTCCGAGCTCGCGCGGTAGGTACTCTTCCCACGGTGCGTTGTCTCGTGTTGGCACGGCGTGTCTCGTGAGAACACGGGTTGTGGGAAGTCAGCTCCATATTTAGTCTCTAAGTTTGTAATTTTTAATGGCTTTGAACAAAACATCCACTACAAAGAATATTTTTATGTTATATATACTAAAACCACAACAGTTTCATGCAGACTCACTGCTTTAACATTGTATTTACAATAGACAAAAATGGTGGAATCATTTGATAAGTAGGTAATTCGACAACATAATTAGGAACTAGGTACTTATTATAACACACTCACCGACACTTTTAGCGGAACTTGTTCACTGTTTTGAATAATTTGATTTAATATCTCGCTAATACAACTTGTATTGTCGAATGGTTCGAGGCTGACATTTCGTTCTTGTTAGTTTTCGTAAATTTTAGTTGATTTTTTATTTACTGAATTCAACTTTGATTTAATCAAAGTCGAACTGTTACAATTTTTAAATTTTCAGCCATGTCTGCTCAGTAACATAATAAAAAAAACCCGTTTTGTTTAATTTTGATTTCTTTAAATATAGGTTGCGTAAGGCTTTACAAGTCAAAGTTAATAGATGTAGGTATATTCAATTGTTACTTGATGTAGATATAATTAAATAATTATTATTTCTTTAAATATAAATGTTACTGTTTTATATTCTCGCTTTTTTTGTTCCACTAAATGCCGGTGCGTGTAGTAATTAGGTATTTAAATTTGTGCTGGATTATCAATATGACGTGTGTACTACATCATCAAATTACAGTACTATTTTTTAAAGTCCAACTTCCGGAGCTATTCGTATTTTATGGAAGATGATGATTGAATTATTAATTTATTTAATTCCACTGACAGTACAAATTCTCTCGCTTATCAATTCGTTACTTTAAGCTTTGTGTTTACCTAACATAAGGTCAGGCTTCGGGTCAGGTACCTACGTACCTAATAATATTTTATGTATGGGCTATCGGATGTTTTTCAAGAAAACATATAAGTACATTTCAATTCCCGATAAATCAGAACATTGTAACCTTACCTAATTTTTTTTAACCTTATGGAAATTTCATATGAAAAATAATTTTATAAAATTTGACCAACTTCTGTTCACCCGATTTTTTTTTCGTCCTATACAATGAAATCGTCCTTATATGAAGCTGAGTCTATCAGCGAACAAATTAGTCAATTTTATTAATTTTGTGTAACATAACATAACATTTTATGAACTTTGACAACTTCTGTTGTCCTGATTTTTTTGTCCCATACAATGAAATGATCCTTATATAATATTGAGTCGATCAGTATTTAAGTAACTTTGATCAATTTTATTCATTTTTATGGACAACTCACGTTTGACCAAAAGTGACTATACTAAAATTGTTTTCACAAAAAAAAAACTTAAAAGTTCCCAAAACAATTTCTTTGTATTTTGTATGGTTTCGGATTTCCTCATTGTCCAATTTAGGAGAAATACTGTATAGTAACTATTTAAACAACAAATGAGAAATTTCTGTCTTTTCTTTATTTCAAAAACTTGGACTATGAAAAGCTTAAAGAAGCAGAGGTTGCAAACATTAAACGGATCTTTTTATAAATAAATTACATATTACATGTCATGTAATGTGTTTCCTGAAGAAATAAATGTTGCTTGATGATCTCCTGCTTGAACAACAGCTTTCATGTTGTCGCCATTTCTGAGGTCTCGGGTTCGCTTCCCGGTGGGGTCAATGTAGAAACAACTTTTACATGTTGTCTTTTCTATAGTGTCGTTGTTTCCATAATACAAGTGCTTTAGTTACTTTAGTTACTGCTATAAGAAAAAGGTTTACAAGCACTGCTTCTTTATCTAAATTTAAAAAAAGCGCAGTACCTACAGATGTAGTTTAGATTAAAAGGCTAATATTTGACATGTCGTTTTACGGGATTATAGTTTCTCGATATTATATTCGCCTGTTTCCATAATACTCGATAGGTTCCAAAGCACAGACTTTTTAAAAATAGTACTCTACGGTGCATGAACTAAAGCTATTTTTACCACAGACCACATATTTTTACACTGAACTAAGAACTGTCATAGTCAATGACGTGCAATTTTCATGCATGGCTTACCGAAAACGACGTCTTTAAAGAGCGTGAAACAATAAAAATGTTTTATATTGATGTACATATACATATAATATATACTTTTCCGGATAGCTAGAGATGTTAGCAAGATATAATAATATAGATATAATTGTGTACTCTTACATTCGTAATAATCATGGATTCATTGTACTTACCTATTACATATTAGGGGCCTTACCATGAAGTCTTATTGCAGTAGAGAATTAGGTTCGTAACGAAACCAAAAGCGAAATGGTGATTACACTTCATGTGGCGCTGTGTCACAACGATTCATTTTCGGTCCTAAACTGAATCATAATAAGAGTTCATGGTAAGGCCCCTGTGCTGTCCTTCTTGTCTTATATCTAATGCATTCGCATTTTGGTAACTTTAATTTAAATAAAGTCATCATGTCCCTAATTCCAGTACATAATTATACTATTATATTCTATTTCGCTAGAAAAATGTCGATCACGTTTAGTTATGATAAGGGCAGTGTGGTTTTTCGCAAAAAATTGTTTAGTTTATTACAACATTTAAAAAATATACAAATAAATGGAAACTATTTATAGTTAACCACGTTTATAGCTAATTTCCTTTAATGCCGCAGTGCCCTCTTATCATCACACTGGGCATTATCCATCCGTGAATTATCCACTGCAGTCACTTCAGCCCATCGAGTATATAACCAGAAACAGAGCCGAAATGTCTTTTAGTTTGTTTGAAAACTATTCTGCTATATCAACAACGGTGACAACTGCGCTCCGATTGGCCAGCCCGAATTCGAAACAATTGACGGGGTTGCGCTTAAAATCCGTCAGTCTAACTGGAGCTTTGCTATAGTGGACAAATATTGAAAAATTACATAATTTAATATTTCATTTTCGATGAAATATGATTCCGTTTGCTTTGTAATTAGATGTTTTGCTGTTTTTCCCACACCACCGAAAGGAACAGTCCGCCATTGTTAGAGGTATTATCTTTATTACAATAAATACAGAACATTTTTGGAATGTACGGAGACGTACACACAGGTCAGTTGTTGGCGCTGTACTATTTCAGCTTTCTAATTTGTGATTGAAATCACAGAAGCTGAAGCGCAAACGATTGATATTTTAAAGTGATATCAGTACCATTTAATTGATGAGTTGCCAGTGATGGATGGCCATTATTTCGTTTCTATTTCTGATTGTGTGCCTACTCGATGCTTCAGCCTTACTTCTCAAAGTTCCCATTTCCAATGCATTCATTCTACTTTCAAGCTTCCTGCCAAACCCAACATTCATTATACTACGTCCAACCATTTATATAACAATACATGCCTCCCATAGTCAATGATGCCTCCGAAGTAATTTATTGTTATAAAACCATAGACAAAAAATGCGACACTTCCTGATTAATTTATTTTTTAATTTTACTGAAGCGACGTACTCTTTAGCTCCGATATTTATTGAGTCAACAGATTATGTAACGAATATTATTCATGTTCATAAATTTTAATGAAATGAAGTAAATTATAAATAATTATAATAAATTCTTATTGTTTATTATAATGAATCGTCGGATTCTTCTTCATATGAACGGGAATGATTACTTGAATCCTCACTAACATTAATTGTTAATTCTTGAATATACAAATTGTCAAACCCAACATCACGATCCTAATCAGACAGTATCTTCTTTTTTAAACAAGCTCACATTTACGATTATTATAAAAAGTCGAATCTAAAACGCATTAGGACATCAGTAATTGATTACAATTTGAGCTGTCAAACGTTAAATGGTTGGACGGAGTGTCTATACCATACATAAGTGTAGGACTATACTCAGCCAGTCGTGCCTTTTTAGACACTTTTCATCTGCCCTTGAAGGAAGTTTTTACAATAGAAAAAGTCAGTAAATGAATGGTTCATTACCTTATTCACTGCAACGATGAGTAGCGAGCATATTAATATGGTGAAGCACAGGTTGATCGTTAGTATTATTCTTGGCACTGTAAAAAAACGAAATAAGAATAATAAATCCTTTTTCTGTGAATAACTTGTGTTTTCATTTGTATTTTTTTATTTTTCTCTTTGTATATTATCATATTTGCATTTTAAATTTTGGTCTTTTGTTTACTGTTTTTCATAAGCAGCCGTTTTTGTTGTTGTACGTGGTAACGAAATTCTTTTTTTTATTCGTTTTTTGTTCTAAATACGAGATTTATACCTATTAGTAATAGCTTTGGGGCGTCACTACATTTATCGGCACGGAATCGTATTAAGTTGGTGAGAAAAACCGTTATGTCCATGCAAAAAGTGCGAAGAAAATGTAATGTGTTTCGCTTCCGCTCTAACCGCAACCGCCGCGTTTCAAGCCGATATGCGGTTACTAAGTTTGTGGCTCCTTTATAAGAAAAAAATGCATAATAAATTGTGACGGTTGTATGTATGCACGAGGGCAATTTTTACGTAATAATAATACTGAAAAAATTGGATGTTTTTAAAATAAAGCGCTTCATATAGGGTTACGTCATGTCTGTGTGACACGGTGAAGGACTACTTTAAATGTTAAGATATTTTGCTTCATGGACTTTGTTTTATTTAAGTAAAAGTAAGTAGTAAGCAGCTACATTCAATCATTTTAAAAAGTTGCTTGCCTCACTTGTGAATTTAACCGCCCAAATATAAAAAAAACAGCCAGTATTTTTAAGATGCCGATCGAAACGGTCAATAAAATTATTATATAAGGATTAATTCATTGCTTTTAAGTAACATAGTATGTTTGTAATTTCTTTAAAGTTTGTTTTTAAAAGTCTTTGAATACAATATTCCTTATTAACCGACTTCAAAAGAGGAGGAGGTTCTCAATTCGAATGTATTTTTTTTGTATGTATTACGCGTTACTCCGGATTATTTGTGAACCAATTTTGATGATTCTTTTTTTGATCGAAAGAGGGTACCTCAGTATAGGTCCCATTTAAATTTAAAGAAAATATTCCACCTCTAGAGGTGGCAAACTAGGGGATGAATCCGGTTTTGTGCACTTTACGTTTACCAATTCCAATAAAACTTGGCAAATAGATGTAACTTCAATAAAAAAGCCGGTGAGCAAACTTTTGAAATTGGTTTATTTTAATATAATTAAATTAAATTTAATATAATTTAATTTGATATAATTAAATAATTTCTGATTTTATTATTTAATTTTTTTCATTTCGATTTTTAATGTATACTAACACTTAGTTCATTAAGATTTTAATTTTGTTTTTCTAACACTTTTGTATGGATCACCTTCAGAAGTCTGAATTAAAGTTTTTTTTTAAATAAAAGTAATAATTATTATAAAAATAAAATAATGTAATACCTAATGAAGCAAAATGTCATGTGTACAATAATTTATAAAGTTCTTTCCGTCCAAGGCCGTGGGACATTCGTATACATACATAGGATGGTTATGTTTTAAATACGAGTAGTCTCATTGTTCTTACCTTCATTGTCGGAGAGCCATCTGTCAACATCGTCATCAAAGATGAACGTTGTGAAGGAGACTTGATGCCTCGGAGCGACCCAGATCACAATAATTGTGATGATGGAGAGGATAATCCCCAACGTAGCGATGATCAGCGTTCCTGTGCGCGTAGACGCGCAGCAGCAGCATTTTGTTAACCGCTTCATGGTGAGTATAAGGCCTCTATCGTTTTAATGATCGATTGAAAGAGGTGTTTCTATTTGCTCATTATTCTGTAACAATAAAAATACATAGGTGAATAAGTAGGACTTTATTCTAAAACATGTATGCGTAGGAAATCACATGACACATGTACAGTCAATGCTCTAAGATACCTAACACCCAGTATGACCTTTAGTCAGTGTTGGGCAAAATTTAATTGTTCTGGCAATTAAAGATTGACAATTAATTAATTGTCAATTGCGAAACAGCAATTAACGATTGATCAATTGTTAGTTGCGAGAACCGCAATTAACAATTAATCAAATGTCAATTGCGGATCTCGCAACTAACAATTGATCAATCGTTAATCGCAAATATCTACAATTAACAATTGATCAATTTTCAATCTTTTCAATGTTTTTGATTAACAATTAACAATTAAAACTGACAACTATGATAAATTTATAGGGCATAACCGGGGCCCCCAACAGGGCCCCCAACCGGCAGGAATTGATTTTAATTGCAAATTTAATTGCAATTAAAATCAATTCAATTGAAATTAATTGCAATTAAAATCAATTCAATTGAAATCAATTGCAATTACAATCAATTGCAATTAAAATCAATTGCAATTGAATTGATTTTTTAATCTGATTGAATCATTGATTGAAATTGAATTGATTATCGCCCAACACTGCCTTTAGTTCTAAGAGCTTTCTTACGCATTCTACAGAAAAGTATAAAGGAATCCCAGCTCTCTATGGGTGAAATCTAAATTCCGTATTTAAGTAAATATACATAAAAGATTAAATTGGCTTAAAAAGTTTCTTCAAATTTCGTTTCGACTAGTTCGTAGCATGCGCGCTAACAATTTAACCCCTGTTTAATTTTACGTGGTCAAGCCAAGGAACACGAGGAGGCTCACCCTGCATGGTCATGTATCAAATTTCTTTTTTCTGGGACGTTATATCGAAATACTCCTTCGAACGAAAATGGAACTAGTGATTTTTTTTATGGACGAACAAGTCGTGCGCCTGGTGTTAAATGACACGCCTGTTCATAACAATTGCCACTCAGAGCTGTAAATCGCAAAGATCTGAGAAGCACTGCCACTGACCGTAAGACATAAGTTGACAAGTTCCATGTGCATGTAATTTCACCAGCACCCTTACTTAGCCTTTGTAATCGCAACGCTCACATTACGCTTGGCGACAGAATAGGTACGGTGGTTGTACTTCACTGGATAAACTCTTTCACAAGCAGTTCTACTGCTAATAAAATGATCTACTGTTACTTGCCTAGCTCGCATTTTTTGCTTAATCGAAGTCAAAGTTTGTTTTGTGTACCGACGGCGATATTTGAACATAGTGGACAAAAGAGTATGGTTTCATGTGCTATGGACTGTACATTGTCGTATTTCGTGGGGCATTTCTTCAAAAAGTCACAGTATGTATGAGAATGGATATCAATGACAATATTGTAATCTTTATCAGGCTTTATATTAGAATTTATTTCTTTACAAATGAAATGAAAGCGATTTGGAAAATGTATATCGTATACTATACATGTTATTTAGTTCAGCTGCTATAAAAATATCATTGGTATTATGTAAATTACCTATTTGACTATAGCGGTGTTCTTGTAGGAGTTCGAGGTAAGCTTGTTTTTTTCTATCGTCGTTTATTAACCGACTTCAAAAAAAGGACGAGGTTCTCAATTCGGCTGTATGTTTTTTTTGTATGCATGTTACGCGATAACTGTGTGATAAAGTTGTGAACCGATTTTAATGAATATTTTTTTATTGGAAAGAGGGTACCTCAGGATTAGTCCCAAAAAATACTCCAACTCCAAGGGTACGAAAATAAGGGGATGAATCCTGTTTCGCGCAAATTTCCGGTAACTGATTTCAATAAAACTTGGCAAATCTATGTAATTCCATCATTGACTTACAATTATATGGACGTCGGGTCCGCGCTAAAAAGTGTCCGCACTTGTAAGGCGCTAAAATCGTATACAGAGCGCGACACTCCGCTTTAGTCTTCATTTGTTCTACTGACAGCGCGATACTGCGATGACATTACAATTTAAATTTCGAATAGGTTGACTTGGGACATTTTTTTCGTGGTTTTTGTATTAGACCCGTCGTCCATTTATTTGTAAGTCAATGAATTCCATGAACTTTTCATGTTCATTTTTTTAGTACTCTGTACTATTTATTTTTTCGAAAGTGATTGATTCGACACTTTGACTGTTACGCGGAATCAACCAAAGCCATTTGAGGTTGTATAGACTCATAAGAATAAGCATTTCAAAACACATAGGTATACTCAATTATTAGATCACGGGCTAGTATACGTTGTACGTTTACAAAACTTGCGGTAAGGTAATGTAACGTATTCAATTTCTTAGTATCTCACAAGGCTATTGTAGACTTTGTATATTTACACACGAAGCATCGCGGTAGCACAAAACGTGCGTGGGCGTGTGACAGTGTCCCCGTTACGTTCGCGCCATTGACATCGCGACATGCGCCCGCGCAACAAAGCATAGGTGCAGACATACTGGAGCGTTTTATCTCGCGCATTGATGCTTGATGCTTTCTGCAATAGCAGCGCTTCAATTTGAAGGCATAAGATCTGTTATTTTATAAGTAATAAATACAATATGAACAATTTTTTTTATGATACAAAGTGTTGGAACGAACAGGTCAGACGACTGTCACCCACTTACACATATCATAAATTTATCATTTGCTGATGGCCTTTTTCCGGAGCAACTGAAAACTTGTGTCGTCAAACCTCTTTTTAAGAAAGGCGATAGGGAAAGCCCAAGTAATTATAGATCAATAACGTTAATCCCAACTCTATCCAAGATATTTGAAAAGGCCATCAGCAAAGTCTACATGTTAGACTAAACACATTTTTAGAAAAACATACAATTATATTCCACTCTCAATTTGGATTTCGAAAAGGCAGCTCTACAACTCTTGCATGTTTTGAATTTTTACGCATCATAACAGAAAGCATGAACGCCTCTACTCCTGTAATGTCAGTCTTCCTAGATATGAGCAAAGCCTTCGACTTTGTATATCATTCCAAGCTCCTGTACAAGTTTGAAATATATGGCATTAGAGAAAGAGCCCTTGATTGGGTAGAAAGTTACTTAACAAATCGAACACAATTTACAGAAATCAGTGGATTTACAAAAAACAAACACAATAATATTCTTAATTTCACATTTAAAACCTTTAGATCACACTTAAAAAACAAGTAATACTGGAATTCCTCAAGGTAGCGTCCTCGGTCCTTTATTATTCCTCCTTTATATTAACGATCTTCCACATGCTATTTACCATAGATGTATACAATTTGCTGACGATACAACTCTTATAATAAAATGCGAAAACATAACGACGTTTAACACCGACATAAATAAAGCACTGACAGATGTAATAAGTTGGATGGACGTTAATGACCTACGTATTAATATAATCAAAACTAAATGTATGACATTTAGATCGTATAATTCAAATCCCATACCAATTAAAATTCACTACAACACCGACACTATAGATGAAGTTAACACATTTAACTTTCTTGGATTGACAATCGACAAATTAACATCCACATCGAAAAAATTTGTATGAGACTAATAGATTTGTTTACGCTCTGCAAAGACTAAGGCAAATTGTCTCTCGAGAAGCGGCGCTGACGGCCTATCACGGCTACATTTCGTCCGTACTCAGCTACGGTCTTATATTATGGGGCAACTCAGCAGATTTAGAAAGAGTGCTCAAGGTTCAGAAGAAGTGTATTCGAGCGATCTGTGGTGCGCGGTTCGATGATAGCTGCAAACCTTTGTTCAAAAAACTAAACATACTGCCTTTGTCATGCATGTATATAAGGGACATACATCTGCGTATTCGTGAACACTCATCCTCAATATTTTAAAGCAAGTGACATAAAGGTAAACTAGACCTAAAATTATAATAATAATAATAATAATAATAACGCACACACTCAACATAGCCCCGCACTAGGGAAACCCTGTGTCGCGGGTGCCATGGACACACACATAGACAACCACAAATTACACCCAAACTCACGAGAGAAATAAATGTAGGCCATACAAATATTTCTCCCGGCCCGGGAATCGAACCCGGGGACCTCTGCGTGGCAGTCCGGTATGGTAACCGTTGGGCCACGGAGGCAGTTATTATGAATCTTTTATACCAACCTCGACGCCATAAATTAATTTATAAGAATAACTGCTTCAATATGTGAAAGAATAAAGATCTTTAATAGTTTAACAAATGAATTTAAATTACTATACGGACCTACGTTTAAATCACAATTGACAAAATGGCTTATGGCACATTGCTTCTATAGTAATAAAGAAGATTTAGAATTTACAAATACTAATTTATATTGATTTGAAGTGCAATTAATTTTAGAGGTCATAATATTTAATTCAATTAATATTGGCACACCTGCTTGCAGGTTGAATATATTGTACCTATTTTTATTTTCGATCTGTATAATTACTGTATTCTGGCAAATTTTTTCTATTCTATTCAGACGACTGTCCACAGCAGTTGCAGTGTCACTCAGAGCTTTAAATCGCAAAGATCAGGGACATCATCGAAAGATTCAGGGACACATATTATAAGTTAACAAGTCCCATGTGCCCGTTATTTCACCAGCATCCTAAGTCTTCAAATTCGACACGCAATAATGCTTACATTACTGCTAGGCGGAACAAATCGTTAAGATGGCAGTATTTCCCTGGACGAACTGTTTCACTGCTACTAAAATATTCCGCTACTCAGCATGGGTCTCTTCTATAAGCTTATTATAAGCAAAAAACCAAGCAAAATGCGGGAGGTATTATATTCTACAGAGGATCCCATAAATAAATTAGAGTAAACTAAAATCTCTGTGATAGCTGGTTTAATTATCTACATATCTTTATATAGTTCATTGCTTTTTTGATAGGTGTCCATTGGACAAATTCAAATTTCTAAAAATTTGTATTTTTTAATGGAAAATCTGGTGTGTTAGTAATTTAATAT